CAGTATATATCCGTCTAGGGTGCCCTTTACAGTATTGTAATATAATGCCGCTAGCCGAAAGCATGCAAAGTTACTGAACACGTGCAACACATTTTTTTTTTACTTTTAGTAAAGATTAGTAAAGTGTTATATTAGGAATCTTAAAGCATTAAAAGTTCTCAGTAAACTTAATTCTTAGACTTCATAAAATAAATGGCTATCTATCAGCATTAGACCAAACGAACGTTTTACGATCTACAAAATTAATTCACTCGACGTTATTACCCACATTTTATGGCTGGTAACTTTTTGGTGGAATAAAATTAATGGAAATAAGTAAACACATTAAACTGAGTGGAAGTGGAAACTCGGGAGGCCGGAATACGGCAAGACAATTGAATATATTGTAGCACTAACAAGGCGAGCGTGAAGTCGTAAAGCGAGCCTGAAGTGGGTGGTACAGGTAAGTGAATTAAAATGGTGGGCTGTACTTACGCGAGTAGCTGGATAGCCAGCCAAGCTAATTTGCGCTTTGTATACCTAACTTCCATTGGTAAAAATTTGGGAATGCCTTACCAATCGAGTGGTAGTGTAGCGACATCGAGATCACTATTAAAATGATGCTTTGTTTCAAATCATGTACCTCTGTATTTATTTTAAAAATTTTAACAGTAGTATGTAAGTATGCAAGTCTATCAGGGATAAAGGTTATTTGAAAACCTATGCCTTGGTATGTTAGATGTTAGATTACCCATATAAACACACACAGTATCACTTATGCTGATCAAAGCTGACCGCACTGATTGCATTATCTTGCTACAAGTGCATATATCTGACATAGACGAAGTATAAAGAAAACCACACCAAACCATTATATACTGGGCAACATTTTATATAAAATTACCTTCCTCTTTGTGGGACATTCTCATCCCGGGTAATGCATTTAATGCGAGGGTAAAAACTTAGAGAGTGCTAACACCTCTTTGCTTCCACAGCACGTATCAAAAATATTTTACTTTTGTCCCATGAATTATGTAAAGCCTTGCGTAAATGTACTTCGCTTTTAGATAAAGTTTTACTTGGGTGACGTGACCGAGAACCTAGACTGTATATACTGAAATGATATTTGATTGTCACTATTGAATTTGTGTTTCTCTCACACACTTTTATTGTATCACAATCTAATATAAGTATGTGTAAGATAATTAGGTATGTTGTTAACGATATAGCATAACAAGAGGTATCACAAATAACTAAAATTACAATTGAAAAGAATAAAATTAATAGCACTTCTGATAGAGTAAAAAAAAACATCTTTACGTGGTCTAAGCATAATATAACAAGATGAAAGTACCTTGAAGAACAATTCAAAGTCTAAAATATCTAAATCTCCTAAATGCATTAACTTATTCAAACCAAAAATGGATGAAAACTCATCAGAATTATGCTATCAGTGTGAAAAGTTTTTAACATTAAGCCGGCTTGCCTTTCATTTTGATATTATTTTTATGCTATTATCTCGAAACGCGCACCTCAAAGTAAAGACATTAAGTAGCTTTGCTTTCATAGAAAGCCTTTGAATATTACTTGGAGAATAAACTAGTTTGACTGTAAGTTCTACAGATATTTGTCTTCTCTTTCCACTGACAGGCAGGAGCTAAATGAAAATAGCTCTTCAAGAGCTTGAAAAATAGTCTATAACAATGGTAGTACATGACTAGACTGAATTACTACTAGACAGGGCTTTGTAGGTTCACTATACAACACAAAGTATTACTCTAATGTCTCTTCAAATTGGTTAAAGTATTGTAATTGCATAGAAGAAACAGCATACGGTAAATGCTGCTGATGCTGCTGACTGCACGGTTGGTGCGGTGGCTGGGCAACCGGCTGCCGTGCAACGTGTCGCGGATTCGATTCCCGCACGGAACAACACTTTGTGTGATCCACAAATTGTTGTTTCGGGTCTGGGTGTCATTGTGTTTGTGAACTTGTATGTTTGTAAACACACCCACGACACAGGAAAAAATCTTAATGTGGGGTTTTTATAAAAAAAATGCCAAAATATTGGCATTCAATTAAATAATTATAATACGTTTTAGTATCGATGGTGTGTGCCACAGATATATCTCTACTGCCTAGATATAAAACATCTTTGAATTTATATACCTACAACACAATCAGTACCTAACCAAAGTACTGAATTAAATTTATATCGCAACAAGTACTGTTTTGGACGCGAGCCGAAATACAAACATAGTTATTTATGTGGAACTGGAAGCATATTGTGCTTATAATATTATCATCACATAAAATTGTACATTTGCCAGATTAAACATGGATAAACTTTGTATGTAGGTAAGAATTTATTTGTCTATTTTTGGCTATAATCAACTGTTGTTGGAGTAATCACGGATGGTCAAAATATTGATTATAATTTTAGTCAAAATGATAATATAAGTATTTTCAAAACACACGATTATTTACTTAGGTCCCCTATATCTATAAAATCTTAGTTTGTCAGTGAGTTACGCAATTGGTCTGCTTCAAAGACAAGCCTTTGAGTTGCGACTGAGATACAAGACAAAAGCGATGAAAGGGGACAACCCTGAGTTCGGACTTACCGCGAGCTAAGCTCTAAAAGCCGTTTCGTTTTACTTTGTAGAAAATCATTTTCTAAACATGTTGTGTTTCCTAGTCCAAAGACGAAGAAAGAAATTCAACACAGGATTAGAGAAAGAAAAAATCTGTTAATATATAATTATTTTTCCAACACAGTTTCCTTCACACAGAATTTATGAGGTCATAATTGAAACCGGACATGCACATTTACAAAGTTATGTACCGTAATAAATTTCCTGCGCTTGTGTGTGACAGCTTCGCTCGTATTTGCACAAGAGCAACATAAACTATGGACCACTAACTCTCAACATATAGTATGCAAATCGTGCGTCAAAATAATAACAATATGTTACTGGCAAGTAGGAAGGTATTGACGGGAAGGTTACATGAATTTGTAATTGAATTTATGATAATTATTTATGTGGGGAACCTTATTATAATATCACTGTTTTCCTAAGTTAAGTAAATGTTTTGAAATGTTGGTCTAATGTTAAAATAATATTTTATATTAGAACAACCAAACTGGGTTTGTGTTTTCTTTTTCTCCAAAAGTTAAACATAACAAGCACTTGTGTTAAGTTTAGAGTTTTCATGAAAATATAGCATTCACAATATCCGCGAGTCCAACTAAAAAGTAATTACGAGAAATGTACGCGAATAGAAGTTACCTCGGAACTTGTACAATAAAAAGAACGCTCTCATCGAATTATGGAAGTTTTAAAAGGAAATTGAAAACACCACCCTGACCATTCTGTTTCTTTTTTAGATATTTTTACACTCGATTGCTTTAAATGCTTAATGTGTTCGAAGAAGTGAATAAATCGGACTTTTAAAGTTCACTAATAGATTTTTTCCACATTCTCATTTGAGCTAGCACAGAGAGCAATCAGAACATCAAAGCCGTGTTTAATTGGACCTACGTCCTGCTTTCCAGATTGAGCAATTTCCGAGTGAGCGTATTGATTAGCTTCACTCACATACCGTCACAATAGACCGTTATAATCAAAGAACATCATATCTTACTTCATTCCAGCGCCACATACTCTTACGCCAAATTAACTCTTAAGAAATTATTGGAATAACTATGGTATTTATATCGGAAACTACAGCAGGTATTAATAGGTAGCCTCGACCGTTTTCTGCAAAACGTTATATTAATAACGTGCTATATTCGCAAAGCAAATATTGTGATATTTGATAAGGCTTTGCGTGTGAAAAACGAGGGATAAGCACTGCCAATGCCAGATTAATGGCTTCCTTCAATGTGCCGCATAATGTCGTGATGAAATATCACTGACAGCAGAAAAAAAAACTCATTTTTTCGTGGTTTTCCTTCACCAATGCGCACTTTCCGTAGATATCTTTAGCACAATTTGAAATTTATCGTCTGTTTTTCAATAAAGAGCGGTATACGATGAATAATAAAGTTACGTGGTGGAGGAGGCAATTCGGGGAGAAGACCGTGACTGTATTAAAATGATTCATGGGACAGTAGCAGAGAAAGCGACGACGGGTATAATGGAATACAAAAACAGTTGAGACAGTGATCTCAGTACAATAGTCGAGGTTAGCTAGGAGGACCGTTTACGTGGTCGGTCATTGTTGTGCTAATGCCTGGGACAGACCAACGCTGGAGCCCCTCATGAATATTAACTGATATTTGTCTTATAGCCGCTCACTGAAAATGTCTATTCAATATAGACACGACACTCGACTTATATTCGTATTGTTTCTTGTCGTGTTTTAAGATGAAAATTGTGAATAGCATACGCACTAAGAAGTTAAATGGGTTTGTGTTATCAAAATAATGAGGAATAGGTGTTGGGTTTATTTATGCGTCTGGGTTTTATCTTTGAAGTCTAATGGCTATGGAAGAAGTGTGCGCAGAGTTGAAATAGGTATATTTCATCGACGACATACATTTTCAAAAATTCAACGTTGCTCTTTGAATTTATGTTCATCGCCTTGTCACTTTTGTCCTATAAAGTGTAAGCTTCAGTAGGCTTTGTCAATTTCCCTGGAACGATAATCACCTGATCCTTTTTACATTTTGTCTTCTAAGAGATTACCTAACTCTATTTAAACGAAGCAATAAGTTTACTCATGCTATTAGCTCGCTCAATCGAATTACTTAAACACTTTCTCACAAGAACTTTGAAGATGTAAAAAAGTTTACACTGAGTTACTTTTAGGTATCTACATAAATTTAACTTAGAGAGTTTGCCTAAATTAAGTTTGCGCATTTTTGAAAAAGACGTATTTTTCTTAGATATATTTTCAGTGAAGTTATCAGAATAGTTGGAGAAAGGTATGAAGTTTTCCGAAACTCTTTAATATATGTATTTGTTTAGTAATAATATACATAATGTAAGATCGTCCTTAGGTTTTAAAACACTTACCCGCATATCCACGAGTGTCTGCGTCGCGGAATGGTTGCAAGCGTAAGTGCAAACGGGGGTAATGCTGCGGGGGAGTCGTCTCGATCCTCTTCCTGCGCTGGCGCTCCACTCACGCGCACCTCCGGGACACGCAGTTGATGCCGACTCATCGTATAACACTTATCTTTAAACGCCCTTAGTACGAACAAAATCGAACATTTTTCGCGCTCTCAAAAACGTTTGTAGATTTCAAAAATCGTGTATCAAAATTCAACAATACGCTTCGAAGTAATAAATTCGGTTTGATTGATGTAGGTACGTCACCTGAAATGGAAAGAAACTTTTGTAATTCTCGTCAACTTGTACGCAAGTTGACAAAAATTACGATTTCATATTTTGGAACGTGTTGCTGAATTCAGGACGTCAGTATTTTTGTACTGAGTGAAAAAATCTTTCACCCACTTAGTAAAGCCGACTGGTAAATATGTCTCGCTAAACATCATTAATTCATACGTCTTGTTATTCTGGTATTAAGGCGGACATTAGCCGAAGGATGATATAATTTGTCATGCCTCCATATCCATTAGTTGCTCATAAGTCTACCGAAAATAATATTACGGCTTAATGCACAGTAAAACAAACGTTAGTGGCTTTCTATTTGTTATTAGGAACTATCAGCTTATGATTCGTTTTATGGGATATATAAAAAGGTAGTAAAAGGGAGTCTTGAATTATCTTTGAGGCTATTAAAGGTGTGACGATAGGGGCGCATTGGCGGGGAAGCCTCATCGCTACATCCGCTTAGGGCCGGTGTTAAAGAGATTTGTTTTAATGTCTCTCACCCTTGACGGTATTCTCTAATCGCTACTTACGTAAAGCACAATGTACGAGAGATATAAAAATATAACGTCATTAAAACGTACCACTGTGGAGCGTTAAAAATAAAATTGGCTTGGGAGAAAATAAATGTTATTTTTTTCGTCGTCTGCTTTTTAACGAGAGTTTTATAACTTTTTAGGTCGATGGTCTCTGTGTTTAAGTATTTTGTTGTTCATCATACAAAGATACAAGATGATAGACATGTGTTTATAGTGATCTATCTTTAATTAACAGTTTCGTGAAATAATTTCTAGTTCATTAATGGCTGTGTGAACTTTATTGGCTTTTTATAAAGATACTAGTGTGAGTTGTATAATTGTTAGATAACTACACAAGTATGTTATTGCTATGTGTGAAAAATACGTACAATTTCTGTTAGAAAGTTTTACTCACATTTTTTTGTTGTATTAATTCTATAGATTCGTCTTCATGAATCACTAAAATCGAATACTGACTGTGCCTAATAGTTCCGTATAGTTACATTTGTTTGACAAGTTGGCAAGCAAGCTGATAAATTGCAACATTATAAATATATTTTTAAACACGTGACGGCTATTGAAATTGAAATAGGTTTCCGCAGTGTATTAATAAATTAATAAATATTGATTCAATGTATGTAAATCATTAACAAAGTGCATTTTCTCAATAATAATTTGTAAAAAAGTTTATGTATGCGTTAATTCTTTTACGTGAAAATTGAAATGAGAGTAAACAATGACAAGTTCCACCATCTTAAGTGCACCTGCACTCGATGACGGCTCGGCCATTGTTAAATCGTGACACATTTATCTGATTTTAACCCACAATAGATACATAATTAAAATATATCGCTAAAAATACATTGTCTTGTACGATGACACTAGTTAAAAGAGCTATTTAATCTTTAATATATTTTAGCGCCAATTTTACGGTCACTTTCACGTAGATAAAAATGATGGAACAGACTTATAGTGCTTGATATGATCACAAAGTTATGAATAAGCTGTGAAACTAACCCCTTTTCCTTCAATAAGCAAAAGATGCGTAAAGAAAAAAAAAGATAGGTATAGCTAGACAATCCAACACTACGTTGGAGCGGAACTATTGTGCCATCTGTTGGCGGAGTGCCGAACACATGGCAGCGACGCGACCCCGACCTCTTTAGGAACATAATTTACAAAACAACTGCTAATGTACGACTAACCGACATCTATATTTAAATTCTTAAACAATTTTTAAATTTTAGAGCTTGTTTTTTATTTCTTTTGCTATCGATAAAACGTTATTAAATCAATTTTATTTTTGGAGAAAAGTTTCATCGTTATTTAATTAATATTCAATGTGACATATAAAATTATTTAGAGGGTTGAATTATCGTACCTATGTACTCATATAGGTATTTTTAATATTAACGAAGTCCCTAACTGTAAAAGTTTTGGTGAAAATATTCGTCGGGAAAAATTAAACCGTTTAAAAATGACGTAATTACGGGATACATTAAACTTTACGACGAGGGCTATGAGTATTTAAACTACGGACCGCGATTTAAATTTATGGGAGTACCCCAACTATTTCACCTTTCGACTTTTTGGGCCATAAATATTTTTTTTTCAGTTCGAAAACCAAAATTTATTCATCTGATAGATAACCTTAGATAATCTGACTCACACTTTCTCCAGGCTTTATTTTATGAGAAATCTCATCAAAGGCTTACGACCCACTTTAAGGAGGGTCGATAGGGGATGAGATTTTTTGTGAAAAATCTGTGCACGTAATGGGGCGGGTGGTGAATGTGAGCTGAATATTTTGTCGCTGTTAGGGACCGTGGTACACGGGGATGGCATCTGTGCCTCTACCACGAATCTAAAGCAAAAGTATTTGTCGATACTTACTCGATAGCGACGACGTAAACTTTATGTAAGTAAAATTTTATAGCGCACCTAGCGCCGCGGCTACGTACGGAACTAAAATTTGCCAAACAAAAAAATTACGTCGTGACTATCGAGTATCGATAGGTAAATACTATTACTTTAAACTCATGGTAGAGGTACGAGGCCACCGTAATCTTTGTAAACAAATTCGCTTTGCTTGGAGCTATGACAGTAATCCTCACTATTCCAGATGTTGGCACGTCGACTATTTGGAAAGGTGCGATCTATTTTCATTTTAAACCTATTTATTCGCGCTATTTATTTTAGTCGTGATAAATATTTGTGGGACGTACTTAGTTTACTTTAAATTAGTTATAGGTAATTTAAATGAATAATAAACAAATGGCTAATTTAACAAAATTGTGCAATTAATGGATCATTTTTTGAAAATCATCCCCTAAATTTGTTTATACAAAAGTAGTCTCTAAACATCGCAAATAACGTCTATAATGTAGTTAGTGGTGACCGGTGACCGCTTGGGGATAAATGGGCTCACGAACTTAAAATGAAGAAAAATATCGCGAAAATTCTGAATTACATCATGATTCAAATATCAGTATGGATCACTATCCATACTGATATTTTAGTAGAACGAGAAAAATAATGTATGAAAAATATAGTGACTGGCGTCAAGCCTAGAAGAGACGTAAACATAAGATTTCATTTACCTATGTAGATAATGTACAAAAAACCTTTTAAGGTTGTATCACATGACGGCACGCACGCGTATCATGTCAACGTAAATCATCAAAATAAAGTGTTAGCAGTTACAAAGAGACACTTATGACAAGTGCACGCTAGATACAAGAAAAAATATACCAGATATTTTCCAGCCAGAAAAGTTTTGTCAAGGTAGCAGTAAAGAAAGTGAATAATTTTGTAGTCTAGATACTCATTGTTAATATTAAATTAGATTGAATATTTAGGTTACACGAGTAACAGTTACAATAACTTATAATTGTCTGCACGGTTGGTGCGATGGTTGGGCAACTGGCTGGCGTGCAACGTGTCGCGGGTTCGATTCCCGCACGGAACAACACTTTGTGTGATCCACAAATTGTTGTTTCGGTTCTGGGTGTCATGTGTAGGTATGTGAACTTGTATGTTTGTAAACGCACCCACGACATAGGAGATAATCATGGTGTAGGGCAATGACTAAAAAAATATATTACAATAACAATATTACAATAATAAGGAATTTTTCAAAAGAGTTGGTCTAAGATATAAGTCTACTTAGGTTAATATCATAAGTGCATAATTTTCAGCTTAAAACTTCAACAACAATACACACCTATAAGTAGCTACTGCTGAGCACAGACCTCTTCTTACACGGAGCAAGGTTAGACCATTAATCCCTACGCATGCTTAACACTGGTTGGCAATTTCAAACTTATAATTAAAAATTATAAGCTTAGTGTATCTAAATAATCTTAGAACGTATGTATATATAAGTCGGAAAAAGTCATATTGGTACTTAATGTTGGTAGGTCTCGAATACGCTCATGCATGAAAAGCGAGCGTCTTAAACCTCAGGCCACCACGACTTTTTCAACGAACTTATGCACTACTAATATAGTCAACAGTTTTCACTCAAAGCATTTACATGTCTCTGATATCTAAATATAGAAAAACATATTTATTTACTCGTTACCTGTAATACAAGATCAGTGGAGGTTTATTTCAAATACCTGCAGATCAAAAGAACAAATCCTTACGTATTCGATATCAAGTGGAACAGTTTAGAGAAGGTTTTACTGAAATATGGATATATTTTAAGATCGCTATTACCTTTTCAGTAAATATATGATTTTATGGATTTCAATATTTTTCGATACTTATTCTGAATCCGAAGAAATTTTTGAGGCGTGATGATCTAAACTCGTGTTACTGTTAAGCTGTTCTATTTTAAGATGCTATTTTTATTTTAAGATTATATTTTTCTATTTTGTTGCATATATTGGTTCTAACTTTACGTATAACCAAACGTAATATTGTTATTCACTCTCAAATATTTTTGACAATTACAAAATTCACAAACATGTAGAAATACAATGATGGTCAATTTGTGTCCTTTCATTAACATAGTGCGTCACACCACATCCGCGGTAACAATTTATATTACGAAACGTACCATAACATCCGCGTGCCTAGTACATTCACTAATTGTTCTAAATTGCACTCTATTAACTCAAAAGGTGTTTAGTATGACACGTTTTTTATTACTCGCATTAAGATAATATGAAAGCCGGTCCCTAAAGACCATTTTTCATTATCTTTACCCCACACGTGGCAGTTTGGGAGAAAATAAATGTTATTTTTTTCGTCGTCTGCTTTTTAACGAGAGTTTTATAACTTTTTGGGTCGATGGTCTCTGTGTTTAAGTATTTTGTTGTTCATCATACAAAGATACATAAAGATGATAGACATGTGTTTATAGTGATCTATCTTTAATTAACAGTTTCGTGAAATAATTTCTAGTTGATTAATGGCTGTGTGAACGTTATTGACTTATTATAAGTATACTATTGTGAGTTG